CGCGCGGTGGGCGCGGGGGGTGGGGGGGGGGGGGGGGGGGGGCGATGGCACCGTCACCACGCTTGTGGCTGGACGCCGAGAGGGTGCCCGGCTCTCGCTGCCAGTGCTGTGCGCAGTCAGCGTGCCCCCCAGCACCCGCGTGGGTCATTTCAGTAACAGTAGGAAAAAACAATGAAGACAGAAACCAGCAGAATCTGGCCACCCAGCGCGTGGGCCACACACAGACCCCCCTCGGACCGCAGCTTGCCCACCACTGGCTCAAAGGAAAGGACACGGCATCAGGCAGAAAGAGGCTCCAGTACACAAATGCAATCAGCATCCAGCTTGTACTTTTCTGCACAAAGGAATGGCTCTAGCCAGCTGCAAATCGCCTCCCAGCAGAGGGCAAACCTTGTGTTACTTCTCCAGTCGGACACAGCACTGTCAGCCCCTCTCCTGAACAGGCGAGTCCCAAAAGACCCCTGGACACAGAGCCCAGGACTCTGGAGAAGGTCATTGGGCGCTGCTTCTGCACAGCATCACGAGGCTCGTGACCGATCTCCTGAGCTTGGCTCCCTCACTCTGCAGAAAGCCGTTCCTGGAACGTACAATAGCCTACAAGGCAGCCTCCACTTCCTAACCGGCCTGACCTTGGAGTTCTTCCTCTGAAACCCCAAAGCGTCTGGCTGGTCTACTTTCCTCCCTTCCCCCTAATTAAGGGGAGATGTCGTTGCACTGGCCTTGTTCCCTTCTTGGGAGCCAGGCTCGCTTACTCTGCATGCCAGTACCAGACTGTCTCCTTGACCCTGTGAAGGGGGGAAAACCAACCCTCCCCGCGTTCCCTGAGTATCCCAACGGGAGCTACTGCCCCTTCTCACAGGTGGGAAAGGGGGCCTGAGCGCGTCTTCGGGGTCACTTGGAAAATGAGCAAACTGCTTCCTCCAAACACGCTGCTGGTGACAGCACGAACAGTGGTTCGTGTGACAGGCAGGCACCGGCACCTTCTGGCCTAGTCTCATTTCTTTCTCTTTTGCTCTCACTCAACAAAAGCAAATGAGGAATTTAATTCAAGCGTGTAAAGCTTTGCTCTCAGAGCGGACTACTTCCCTACAAGTCCTGCCCGAGACGAAGCTGCCTTCTGGGCCGCACGCTGCTGCTGATCACTCAAGCCAGAAATGTAGGAGTTGCTTACGAAAGTGGTTTCAAAGGTGAAAGACGTGCCTGCTTCTGGCTACAACAGACACATCACCCTTAGGAAGCTGAAGCTGTGTACGTAAAGCTTCCCAGGCCGCATGAAACGGAGACCGGAACAGCACCCGTCCCCTCAGCCACCCATCCCTAATGCAGTAACCACCGCCACCAAAGAACAAGGACAGTTGTCAAAGAGCACCCTTCACTCCCTCCACTAACACTGGGATCAGCTCCCGGGTTCTGTAACAAATACTGTGCTCAAGGGCATTGCACAGACATGGGGGGAAGTAGATTTGAAATAAAGTAACATATTCGCTTTGTGTGCGTCTGGTTGAGTGGTTGGTTTTGGGTTTTCTTGCTAGGACTAAAGATACCATTGTCAAGGAGTCTCCTCCCTGTCTGGTTTCTTCATCTGCTTGACTCTGGACCACATGCAGACTCTTGTGTTTAAGAGATCACAATCAGTCACAACTGATTGTGAGGGCGTAAATCCAGCAGGGTGACCTTATTAAAAGAGCAAATATGGGAAGGGCCCCTCCCTGTTCAACCTGCAGAGCAGAATTAAAATGCATGGTACCAACAACCAACAACACTAAATCAAAGCACACGCCCTCGCATGCAAGTCCTCAGCAAGGATGAAACGTGGTCTGTCATGTTCCATGCGATAAACGAATCCCAACGAACCCAAAAGGGCACTGACAGGGCAGTAAAGGAAACACTGTTTCTCATATTTACCATCTTGGTGTAAGATTACGAAATATCTTCAGCCCAAACAGAGGTCCCTGAAGGTCTCCAGCTCCAAATTCTAACTGTTTAAATAGAAGAGAAAACAGTGAGAAGGCAGCATCTTTCCCATCTGTGCGTCTTGTCTGTGTACTGTTGCCGTACCCTAGGGAAGGGCTGGGGAACCGTTTTGGGGTAAGGGGCCATTGACGTACAGAAAAAAAACCAGTCAGGGGCTGCAGATAAGTGAGAAAAACAAAAAAAAAAAAACCACGCCTCTCATCAGCATGGACTCCCCTGTGCTGGGGGGAGCCCCGAGCCCCAGGGGCCAGATCCAGGCAAGCCGGGGGCTGCATCCGGTCCCCAGGCCTTAGGTTCCCCACCCCTGCCCTAGAGGATGCATTCAATACCCCTACCTAGCCTAAGTCATTCCTGTCTGTCCACGTTAGCAGTCTGCCTTTTCTCCCAGCACTGTACAGGAGCACAAAGGGTCTCTCTGTGTACACTCCTGGGCTATGTCTAGACTGCAAGACTCTTTCGAAAGAGAGCGTCTAGACTGCACGTTGAACTTTCGAAAAAGCGGCTTGCTTTTTCGAAAGAAAGGATCCAGTGAGTCTGGATGCTCTCTTTCGAAGAAGCCCTATTTACATTGAAGAACGCCTTCTTTCGAAAGAGGAACTTTCGAAAGAAGGCGTTCTTCCTCGTGAAATGAGGTTTACCGCCATCGAAAGAAAAGCCGCGTTCTTTCGATTTAATTTCAAAAGAACGCGGCTTGAGTCTAGACGCAGGTGAGGTTTTTTCGAAAAAACCCCTGAGTCTGGACACAGCCCCAATGACTAGAGAAAAACGTCTGCCAACCACAGAGTATCATCAGCAGAGCACTGCTGGCTGCGGTCAGAAATGACAGGGCAACAAGCAATCCTTTGGCCCTGAGAGGATGCCCTTCGTATTTCAATTAGCCCCCTCCCCAACACAGAGCGATGTTCACAGGTTACAGATGTTTTCCTACTCCTGTGACCTTCACCTCACGGAGTCCCCTGAACTGCGGGTGGATGGGGATCTCGGCAGCCCAGGCCAGACTGGAATAGGGGATTGAGAAGTGGAGGCTTCCTCCTCCCATTCCTACCCCCCGCCACATCTAATCTGGAGATTCTCAGAGACGCCTCCTTGCACCTTAACACCAGAGTCTCTGCTGCTGCACTACAGGGGTGGTGCATGACAAAATGCTGTAAAACAACATCTGGATCCTAAAGGAAGCTGCATTTTAGTGATTCTGTAGCTTGGCTTAAATATTTCTAAGTATTTCCTTTGGGACCACTTTGGGTTATCCAATGCTATTGCTACATGCTCATATGGGCACAATCTGCACTGAAACCAAGAAACTGGGACCGTTTTGAGTCATTTTAGATAATGATCCAATATCCTGATGTATCCTCCATCCTCAATAAAGTGTGGTAAAAATCTAGACCGTATGCCATCTGAAGCCAGAGAAATGCAAAGTGCTCCACTTAGGAAGGAACAATCAGTTCCATACATACAAGATGGGAAGCGACTGTCTAGGAAGGAGCATGGCAGAAAGGGATCTAGGGGTCATAGTGGACCACAAGTTGAATATGAGTCAACAGTGTGATGCTGTTGCAAAAAAAGCAAATATGATTCTAGGTTGTATCAACAGGTGTGTGGTAAGCAAAACTCGTGAAGTCATTCTGCCGCTCTACTCTGCACTAGTTAGGCCTCAACTGGAGTACTGTGTCCAGTTCTGGGCACCACATTTCAAGAAAGATGTGGAGAAATTGGAAAGGGTACAGAGAAGAGCAACAAGAATAATTAAAGGTTTAGAGAACATGACCTATGAAGCCAGGCTTCATGAACTGGGCTTGTTAAGTTTGGAAAAAAGAAGATTAAGGGGGGACATGATAGCGGCTTTCAAATATCTAAAAGGGTGTCACAAGGAAGAAGGAGAAAATTTGTTCCTCTTGGTTTCTGAGGACAGGACAAGGAGTAATGGGCTTAAAGTGCAGCAGGGGAGGTTTAGATTGGACATTAGGAAAAAATTCCTAACTGTCAGGGTGGTCAAATATTGGAATAAATTGCCAAGGGAGGTGGTGGAATCTCCCTCTCTGGAGATATTTAAGAACAGGTTAGATAGACATCTGTCAGGGATGGTGTAGACGGAGCTTGATCCTGCCTTGAGGGCGCTAGGGTTTGTGACTTCCAAAATACTCCATGCATCTTCTTGAGGCCTCCACTCAGATGTCCCCCGAAACTCACAATAGGTACACCTTGCCTCACCCAAACTGCTCAAGCCAGTTACACTGAGCTCGGTATACCTTTGCCCTTGCCAGTGTTCCTTCCCAAGTAGGGGAGAAGTAAATGTACAGTATTACTCATAGCTAGTGCTTCGCTTGATCTTAGAGCTGTACAAACTAACTCAACCCTGCAGCTATTTTTATCACTCTTGACTCGAATCCAGTTGGTTTTCCCTATAGCTTTGTGCAAGCAACCAAGCCTAGATCTGAAAGGGTACATCTACACTAGCCCCCTAGATCAATCTAGGGAGGCTAATGAGGGCGACCGGAATTGCAAATCAAGCGCAGGATTTAAACATTTGCATTTTTCCCAGCCGGTCGCCATTTTAGAAATTGACTAGCCCGAAGTAACTGCCCACGTCTACATGCGGCCAACTGAAGGGATTCCAGAATAAAGCCCTAAATCGAATTAGGTGATGCAGGAGCATGGGCAGCAGATGCAGGCCCAGCTGGGGATGGCAGGTCCCAGCCCTGCCCCTTCTGCCAGAGGCCCTGCCCCTCCAGCCTTGCCATTCCGGTCGCCCTCATTAGCCTCCCTAGATTGATCTAGGGGGCTAGTGTAGATGTACCCTTTCAGATCTAGGCTTGGTTGCTTGCACAAAGCTATAGGGAAAACCAACTGGATTCCAGTCAAGAGTGATAAACGTACCCAAAGATGCTGATGGTCCCAATGGCAGGATGCTGTTCACAGCCCCAGGGAGGCAAGCTTCCGTAGACTTTGTGCACTACAGTGATCGCTGATAATGCTCGTCAGGCTGGTATGGCAGCATAATGGTTAAGAAAAATGCAATTAGAAAGATGCAGTGCTTCCCTCTCCCCTTATTTCTTTGGGGAAAAATATAGATTAAAAAAGAGAGACAGACCCAACGCCTGACCAAACACGAAGAGGACTTAAGAGAAGAAAAACAACTATTAAGGCTTCTAGCACTTTCTTTTATGTCATTTTATCAAGAGCAAAGACAGGAGACGCCACACTACCATTGCAAACCAGGTTTGCAAGCTCCTGTGAATAGCCACTCTGGGCCCTAAATAACCAATCTCCCAAGATTTCTCAAACTCCGGCACGGTTTCTTCATTTTGATACACCAAACGCTGTAGAAATGGGGATAAACACCGCATACAACTGGCTAGAAATAAAACTCAGTTGATGTTCCTACCTCTCCCCATCCCTTGGCTGAGGTCACCCGTCTAAGAGCAAAGTTAATCGATCCGCCTCCATTCCCATTCTGGGTAGAGAGGCTACCAGAGAGTATCGCTGTGTCTGTGGCAGTCAGTGGAGCCTGGAAGAGAAATGTATTGTTATTGGATTAACCGGAGGGATGAGCAACCTCAGTTACAAAAACACAATGAACACACTGCATAGACAGTCAAACCTGTGGATGATAGGAGAATGCGTAGGCACAGAGGGCCATGTAATTATCCGATCAGTGTTAATACGCTCCCAGCTCCTGTTCCTGGGTCTTAGTGTGGGCGGACACATGCAGTTCAAAATTCTATAGTTCAGCTTTACAAAGCAAGAGGGCAGCCTTGCCATCGACAGCACAAAACCACCTTATTGGACAGTTAAGCAAATACACTTATGACCCTACCCCTTGGACTGCAATCCTGTCAGATCTCATAAGTTCCACAGAGTCACCTTGGATTAATCCCTCAGTGGGAGACCTTTAAAAAGCATCTGAGTGCAGCAGCAGGTAATATGCTAATTCAGCACGGGGCACACGTCCCATGGGTCACACTGAACCAACGTGCCAGTGTTGTTCTTCCCATGCCAGAAGTGAAACAAAAGTCTTTGACCGCTCATGCTCACTGAGTGTCATCTGCTGCTTCGGACGTGGGTTCCCATGCCTTCAGGCACTGCCAGGCACATTAACAAGCTCTAGAAATCCAGTTTCAGGTGAAAGCATTTGTGAGCCTACTGGGTATTAATTCCAAGGAGGATGGGGAGGAAGGGACCCACACTGGAGCATTCTTAAATACAAAGCCCAGTGTTTGTCCTTTGAATGTGGGTTTACATCTTAAACATTGCTTTGCAAATGTGTTTGAGAAATACATGTTTAGCCCAGCAGTCAGTCCACCCTCGCTAAGGAAACTTGCTGGGAGTGGGGGCAGAGCCTTTTAGAATGCAAACTGGAGCCAAAACTCTGGCATTTGTCTCCTCAAAAACGTAGGTGGTCATGTCAACGGATGGCCCAGTTGTATCCATCTCCCTGCCCCACTCCCCTAAAGCTGGAAACCACGGCCCTTCCCTGGTTCAAGAGAACCCCCCGAGCAGCGCTGCAGCTTGTGGTGCTGTGGACTTCTGTGGCTCACTGACTCAGAGCCTTCCTCGCACTGGGAGTGCTCTTCGCTGCACTGTACCTCGATGGACTGGGATATGTGCATTTTGTTAATTTCAATCTGGGGAAAGCTGCTCCCTGGCACATCTTCATATTCTTCATCATAACGATCGAAGAGGTCAGTGGCATCTATTCCCACACTAATGGTGCCCTGGGGAGAGACAAGCAAAACAAGTTCTTAGCACTAACATCTTCAGTACACGTAGGCTGAACAACTGCTGCTCCTCTGGATCTTACAGTTTAAGAACATTATTCCGTTCTAAAATGCTTTCCCACCCTTCTGCTGTAGGAAAAGGCTCCCTCAAGCACAGAAGGAAATGGGTTATGCAGGGAAACGGCAAAGGGTTGTCACAGGCACAAAGCAAACCGTCTGGACAGCAGACTGGAGAGCTCACGGTGTTTCTTACAACAGTAGCAGCAAAACGTCGACTGAAGTGGCTACAGAACAGCAGGCAGAACATTTTCAGACAGAGGAGGGATATTTATTCCCTCGGAACTGATAGTGTTCGGCCATTCTGTAAAGCCAACCAACTGAATCTGTAATTAACCTTCTCAGTGAAGCTGAGCTAGATGTTCACCTCCTCTTATCCGAAACAATCGACATTTGAACCAAGGTATCACTGACCACAGAAGTCACGTGCTGTTGGTTCTGTTCCGATTGGGTAAGCCTGATTCCTGTCATCAGTAGGAGTGCTTGAAAACGACAACATTTTAGAATAGGGTTAGAGGTGTTAAACCTTTTCCTCTCCAGGTCACACTCAGGCCTTGCTGCTGCTATTGCATTCCTAGCAGTAATTGTGCCATGAGTCCCACAATGGTTAAGGAGATGGTCAGATCCTCCTCTCCCTCACGCTGCTGCCTCAGTGGGGAAAGGCCCTGGGAATCCATCTCTCCTGCGGCTGTGTCTAGCAGCGTCCCATCACAAGTGATACACACCACTTCCACAGACCATCTAGTACATGAGACCAGAACCACAGGACTCTAGAACTGGAAGGAATCTCGAGAGGTCATAAAGTCCAGTCCCCTACCCTCACGGCAGGACCAAGCACAGTCTAGAATGGATCATCCCTGATTAGTATGAATATTAACTTTCCTCAGGGAGGGGCACCTGAAGCCCTGCAGCTGGGGGCTGGATCCTACAGCTGGGAGATGGAGCCCATCACTACGCAGGCAAATTCTAGAGCCCAAAACCCTGTGGTCGGAGCCTGCTGCCATATGGCCACAGCCTTCTGCCCACCACCGGGCTGAAGCTGGAACCCTGAGTGCCTGCCCAGGAAGATGGGGACCTCACACCAATGGTCTGCTCCTCCAGCATTGGTGTCCTCGGGGTGGGGGGGGGGAGGGCAGGACCTAACCCCTCCTGGAACCCCGAGAGGAGGGGCCACTGCTGTGCCCTCCCCGTCACCAATCACCCTTTAGGTGCAAGAAATGCCCCTCGTAGCCACATCAGAGAAACACGGATTATAAGTTTGGGTTTCAAAACTGAGAAAGGATGGCTCTAAACATTTATTTTCTCTCTTTTTAAAAGCAGCACACACAGTGGTCACAGAGCAATGCAAACTGTTCACACAAACATTTGTGATGAAAAGTGAGAGATGCTACGTGACTGCTTCGAGAACTAATTACTCACGTCTACTGAGGGAATGAAAATCCAAGACTGTCGAGAAGAAAACTATTTTCTGTCACTGAACGTGGTGTTTACTGGCAATCTAAGCTTCACAGGGATTGTAGAACTCCTTCTGGGATTTGGAAAAGTTGTGCTAAAATTAAACTCAATGCATGCACTGTAACCAGAGACTGAAATTAGTGTAATGATCTAAGAGAATTCATAATCTATTCCTACTTTTTGAGTGTATCTTCCACAGCAAAAGAAAAGAGGAACATTATAAAACCAAGAGAATGTGACTGTAAAACCACAAAAATTGCCAGGACAACTCAGGTGCAGTGCCCAAACCATTCTGAAATCACTTCTCGAACCAACTGTATTTCGTGCCCCTCTTAGCAACTGCAAAAATAAAACTAGCTTTACTTTGAGGTTACAGTAGCACCCAAACATTCCACGGGTAAGAACCTATTGCTTAGGAGTGCACTGCAGACAGTCACCTTTGAGTGCATCAGCTTTCCAAAGCCTATACCTGCTTCTCAGATTTCAACCCTCTCATAGCCTGTGCTGCTCTTTCAAACAGTGCCAAAGGGTAGGTGACTTGGAAAGCTTGGCAGCACACACTCTGCTGCTGCAAATTAAGGAGGTAAAAGGGTTAACCAGTTACCCGCTAAGCTTATGGATAATCAGTGGTTTGACACCGGGGGTGGGGGTGGGGAGTGAGAAGGGAAGCTGCTCCAGGGCTAGTGAGCCCAACGTGCTGCAGGGGGTGCTCCAGCTCCTCTGGGGTGGCACAGCTCCCTGCCTGTGGCTTGCTGGACCCGTTCTGACCAATATGAAACATGGCAGTCGGACAGACACACCATGCCACACGCTGGGGGCTGCTTCAAGGTTAACCGGTTACACCTCGCATTTAACAGGTTAACACTCTTGTCACTCTTGTCTTAGCTATGATCTTTGAAAAATCATGGCAGACAGGGGAGATTCCAGAAGACTGGAAAAGGGCAAATATTGTGCCCATCTATAAAAAGGGGAATAAGAACAACCCAGGAAACTACAGACCGGTCAGTTTAACGTCTGTCCCAGGGAAGATAATGGAGCAGGTAATTAAGGAAATCATATGCAAACACTTGGAAGGTAATAAAGTGATAGGGAATAGCTAGCATGGGTTTGTGAAGAACAAGTCATGCCAAACTAATCTGATAGCTTTCTTTGATAGGATAATGAGCCTTGTGGATAAGGGAGAAGCGGTGGATGTCATATACCTAGACTTTAGTAAGGCATTTGATACGGTCTCGCATGATATTCTTATTGATAAACTAGGCAAATATAACTTAGATAGGGCCACGATAAGGTGGGTGCATAATTGGCTGGATAACCGTAGTCAGAGAGTTGTTGTTAACGGTTCTAAATCCTGCTGGAAAGGGATAACAAGTGGAGTTCCTCAAGGGTCTGTTTTGGGACCCGTACTGTTCAATATCTTCATCAATGATGTAGATATTGGGATAGAGAGTACGCTTATTAAGTTTGCAGATGATACCAAACTGGGTGGGGTTGCAACTTCTTTGGAGGATAGGAACATAATTCAAAATGACCGTAGCAAGTTAGAGAAATGGTCAGAGGTAAACAGGATGAGGTTTAATAAAGAGAAATGCAAAGTGCTCCACTTAGGAAGGAACAATCAGTTCCATACATACAAGATGGGAAGCGACTGTCTAGGAAGGAGCATGGCGGAAAGGGATCTAGGGGTCATAGTGGACCACAAGTTGAATATGAGTCAACAGTGTGATGCTGTTGCAAAAAAAGCAAATATGATTCTAGGTTGTATCAACAGGTGTGTTGTAAGCAAAACTCGTGAAGTCATTCTGCCGCTCTACTCTGCACTAGTTAGGCCTCAGCTGCAGTACTGTGTCCAGTTCTGGGCGCCACATTTCAAGAAAGATGTGGAGAAATTGGAAAGGGTCCAGAGAAGAGCGACAAGAATGATTAAAGGTTTAGAGAACATGACCTATGAAGCCAGGCTTCATGAACTGGGCTTGTTTAGTTTGGAAAAAAGAAGATTAAGGGGGGACATGATAGCGGTTTTCAAATATCTAAAAGGGTGTCACAAGGAGGAAGGAGAAAATTTGTTCCTCTTGGTTTCTGAGGACAGGACAAGGAGTAATGGGCTTAAAGTGCAGCAGGGGAGGTTTAGATTGGACATTAGGAAAAAATTCCTAACTGTCAGGGTGGTCAAATATTGGAATAACTTGCCAAGGGAGGTGGTGGAATCTCCCTCTCTGGAGATATTTAAGAACAGGTTAGATAGACATCTGTCAGGGATGGTGTAGACGGAGCTTGGTCCTGCCTTGAGGGCGGGGGGCTGGACTCGATGACCTCTCGAGGTCCCTTCCAGTCCTATTATTCTATGATTCTAAATAGGAGCTGCTGAGGAGAGTCTGACTTACCTGGAGAGTGAGGAAGGAGGCTCCGGCATTCAGCCAAAGAAATGCAAACAGGAATTTCAAACAGAGAGAGAGAGAGAGAGAGAGAGAGAGAGAGAGATTTTTCTCTCTCACTTTTCTGTTTGAGAGCAGAGCAGTTTTTTCTAGGTGTGGAAGGAGACAGGCTTTCCCCAGAATGGACTTCTTGAAATGTGTAAGTAGAAAAAAGTTTAGATAGTCCATCAGGTTTTATTGTTTTCCTTGTTTGGAAATCATGTCTGAGCTGGTTAATTGTTTTTCTTTTTCGTAACTAAGGATTACAGCCCAGGGATTTCCCCTGAATCTATGTCACTTTGCGGCTATTTAACATATAGTCAGTTACTATGCTTGCAATAGTAGTTTTGTTTTCATAATAAAAGTGTTTTCCTTTTAGTTTTGATGAACTGCTATTGGTTGATTGTTGTGTCCTTAAGTTACCCGGGTAGAGTCCATTGTTCTCTGTGGATTCCTTCTGTTTGTTTTCCCAACTCCAAGCAAAACAGAGGTTGGTGCAGGGGGGAGAACTTTGCCTTAGGGAGGGGAATCCCCAAGTGATCCCTTTCCCTGGAAAAGGGTTTATTTTATATTTTCTCTTATTCACTTGGGTGGTGGCAGCAAGAAATGAGTCTTCGTCTTTTTGGATCTCAGGGGGACCGAGATCAAACACGTTTGTCTGTGAGAGTCACAGAGACAGGTTTTACAGATTTTATTCTACTAGCTAGCTCCCCATCTCTGCACTCAGGTTGGGGAATTGAGGCTTGACAACTCTAAACAATAATTATCATCCCTACTTCAAATCTCTGGGAAATGAATCAACAGAATAGCCAAAGAAAGCTAAATGGAGATTTCAGGCTTAAGTACCAAGCACGCTTGACAAAATTCAAATACATGCATTCCAGAGAGTGACTGATCAAGTGATGCTGTATGTTTGCAAGCACTGCTTTCAACAGCACTTCTTTTTCCAACCTAGAGAACTGTTCCAATGCTTTTATGCTGCTCTTCATCTCTTGCAAATGCACTGGTCATAGCTGCAGAATTGGATGATTTTCCACATCAAATGTCCAATCTCAGAAGAGCGGGTTTGTT